GGATGTTAAACGGTTTGTGGGTGTCCTTTAAGTTTACAGATGTTGTAGTTTACTGTTAAAATACTATTTTTTTTCCAGTAATGTACTCTGTACTTTAACCATCTTGTATATAAGAAAGTTTCAATATCATAGGACTAATATTTTCATTCTATAAAAAGTTTTGATTTTCACAACTTTACATAATGTTTTTATTTCCTTAGTTGTGTTGTTATGATCAAAATGAGGTGGACGGTAACTGCCAAGCAGCAGAAGACGACTACAAGGTATGTTTTGTGACCCAACTGGTACGTTGTGTAAGAAAGCTAGTGGGATAAATGTTGGACCCAACTGGTACATCCAGGCTATATTATTCTGTGTCAGACTGTTTGTAGTATGTTCTTCTATGTGAGGATGTATTTATTTATTAATATTGTTTGGACTACTGTGTCAGATATTAACATAGCCTGGATGTACCAGTTGGGTCAACATTTATCCCACTAGCTTTCTTACACAACTATTAATGAATAAATACATCCTCACATAGAAGAATGTAGTTCAAATAATCTGACAGAAGAATATAGACTGGATTCCTCAATAGAGAAGAATGAACTTGGAACGTCCTGAAACAAGAATAAATCATTAAAAAGATCCCTTTGAATTATAACAACAGGTATTTATAACCTCATAATACTGCAACATGGGAATAAAACTTCTGACATCGGATAATATTCTTAAACTTCCTTTTGCTCCTAATGACCTAACAAAGGTGAACAAACTTATAACGTTATACCAAAACAAATTAATTACTAAATATTCAATGTCTTACAGAACATCAAAATCATATTTTATAATGAGGGTTAACTGCTACAAACAGCCCTTGGGCAAAATTCTCATAAATAAGCATTTTGTGAATGTTTGTAATTGAAAATGAAGTGTACCAATAGTTACGAACTGTTCATACAAGTTTAAAACCAAGATTCGTTAACTTAATAGTTACTATTAATATTTCAGTCAAAATATTCGTTATGGCATTATAAAATGAGATTGAGACCGTTTTTACTTTGCCTTCTGCAAGTATGTCCGCTTACAGTAAACTAGGTAGCTTTTAAACCTCACCAACAAGAAGGAAGTTTGTTTGTTGGAAAGATTCACAAAAGGCTGTGCCATGCCCAACACCGGTGTCGAAACCTGACTTCTAGCAGTACAAGCCCAGTGACTTGTAACCGAGTCACAGGAGGAGAAGAAGGAAGATATATCTGAACTAAAGAATTAAATTAACCTACCTTCAGAAAATTAGCAATGTTTTTATCATTTACAAGGTACTTTAATTTCTTCATCTCTAGAGATAAAAATTCCAACAATTAGAGACAAAGTACATAATTTGTAACAGAATTCAGTTTTTAATTTTTTTCATAATATAAGTAGAGAATTGCAATTAATGCAAAATAAAGTACCTATGTCAAATTACCTAATTCTGACATATATTGACTGGTGAATATTGTGTGTGTGTGTGTGTGTGTGTG